ACCTGCTTAAGGTATCCCTCCATTATCGAGCATATGTACCTCGACATTGGCTCGCATCGACCAGGAATCGATGAGGCTTTATCGGTCTTGAAATCGGAGTTTAGCGTGCACCCCCCAGGAATGCATTCCTCAAGACGGGGTTCCACCAGCGTCGTTTTCCCGCCGCCGGTTGAGAAGATGAATCAGCTTCTTTTTGTGGTACTGTTTTCGATATTTTTTGCCATTTTTGTGTAAGTTTGAAGAAGAGGAAGATAACAGGACTTGACATTTGAGAAATGATTAACAACAAAACCTAAAGATTTGTAGAAGAGAAGAACTTAAGAGATGTAAAAGCTTTGGAGATTAGAAGGAAGTGAAAGTAAAGTTTGAATCAATAAGAAAGAGGTCTATTTATTGGATTCACGGTGACGGTTCAAAGGCACTAGTGGCCGACCACCAACTGACACTCATTAATGACTTGGGGAACTGTACCGACGGGACGTTTCGGTCACTCCCATCGCTTACGTCACGAGGATGACGCCATGACAGGTCGAGGTAAAAAATTGAAGGCTCAATTCGTTTCTTGTCATTTCACTCCAAAAATGAGAGGACTATCTGTATACGGTTAAAATCGGCCCCACCCAATTTTACTATTTGACCGAGACCGGGAGGTTGCATCGAAGGACGACCTCGTAACAGAACAGACTAAATCACGAGGATAAGGTACCGAGTTTAGAATCAAGTTACCTGTCGAGATCGATGCTAGTAGCGATAGAAACCAAATGAGATAGACATCGAGCAAGATCGAAGATAGCACAATAACAGAAAGGCGAGATATCCGTGACTGGTCGAGGATCATGGCGTAAATCTCGGAACGGATCAAATCAGAAATATTAATTAGCTAATCATGAGATTTTCTTCTGTAATTAGAATTATACCATAAGTGGAATTCTTATACTATTTAAAAGGGGTTCTAATCATTTGTAACACACATTGTTCACATATATCAAAGCAATATAATTATCTTTCTCATTTATACTATTGTTCATCAGCTTGTTATATTTTAATTGTTCTTGCATCAACTAGTTCGAGGGTATCCAAACTCGAGGGCTGAGTTCCATTCTAACACTGGTTTGCTTTACTTTATAGTTCATTTATGTTATTAATCTTCATATTTATCAATTGATATTAAGTGAAATCACGTGTCCTTAGAACCACTTTATAAATTTAATTGTTATCCAATTTTAAGAGTAAACACGTGTCTCGTTCTTAGATTTAGTGCAATTTAAGAGTTGTCACTAATTGTTATAAAAAGCCGATTTTTGGCACCCTTTCCGATTCCCTCACCAAATATCATGATAATTGAGCCTAGTACAATTGCGTTCACTTTACTAGGTTTCTAGCACGACTAATACAGTATTTTGTGTTTAGTTATCATTTTGTGTGATAATATTTGACTCAACCTCGTACGATGTTAAGTTGACTTATATAACATCTTAGTAATGATAAATAGAACATCCAAGTAAGAGCAATATCACATTAAAAATAAAGTTTAGCAAATTGGGCCAATTTTTGGCTTGGAAAAAGGTCAATATTTTTGGTATATATCTAATAACATAGACACAAGGGCTTGGTTACATTAGACCGTTTCTTGTGTAACATATTATTTTATTTTGTTTGATGTAAGTGCAGATAAATATTTACTCCCTAATTTCCGTTGGCCCGCAACACGGCAACAGAGTAGTTAGTCAATGTTTTCTTTCATTTTCTTTTGGACTTCCAAATAATATTTAGTGTGTTATTTTTGTTGGCTTTTAAGCTTGGCGTGACTTAAAGAGGGTGAATGAAAAATAGAGAAAAAATAAAATATTTGAGTTTTCCTCCTTGGCAAAGGGACATTGTCCCATATTGGAGGAAGAAAAGACTTTTGATTGGTATATATACAATTACTCTTCTTCTAAGAAGAAGGCAAGACTCGCGCCGTCGTTGCTCGCTTGGCTGCGGTTTCGGTCAACGGTTGATTGATTAATCTTTTTGGACAAAATTCCTTTCAATTATTTAGTTAATTAACGAAAATTCAATCCGGATTAACTCAGAACCCGCGGCCCGGTCCGGTTCGTTTTCTTTCCCGGATTATTTTAAATTCGTTTTCTGTTTTCCCGCAATATTTCTGTTGAAATATTCCCACCTGTTCCAACAACTATGGCTGTTTCTGAAAGGTTGCAAACCTTATCAGAAACAGTGCCAGATAGTCTATAAATATGCCTTGAATCCCAGAATCTTTACTAACTAAATTTTCTGATTATCTTCTTCTTCTGCACAACATTTTCCAGTGTGTTTTACGACCATTGAGTGGTTCGAAGTTCACTCGCATTTTTGATACCAATACACTGGTAAGTTGAATCGTTCTATACTGGGAGGATAATATTCCAGCACCTCGGATACTTGAGGGGAATAATTTCCTTAAGGACACACTGTACATTCAGTGGGCTCGATTTATTCCGATATTGTTTTTTCAGAATTTATTTCGTCAAACTAGCTCTATTAACTTTCTGTTTCTGTGTGTCAATTAGTTGCCTAGCTAGATTCTTTTAATATCTTATTCGAACAACTTAAAAACTTCACAAGGATTGGATAAGGTAAATGCTGTAATTAAATACAGAGAATAAAGGGGTGTCTAGCCCTTTTCCTTAGTTATTTGTATCTTAAGTATGAAAAACCTACTTACTCTATATGCGAGCCATTATAATTGAATAAATGGAGCTGAACAATATAAGTTTGTTAACTTAAAAGATGGTAAGAACAGGAGGTGCTGCTACTGCATCGTAAAAAGACGGCATTTTAGTATTTGTTACTTTAATATATTTTATACATATTAAATACAAAAAGCATATTATAATTAGCCTGCTTAAGCTGATTCAAAATTTCCCTATACCTGGGGCCCAGAACTTTGGTTAGTCAATTCTTTTTTCTTTAGTTTCTTGTTCGTTAGGCAGCACGTCCTCAAAATTAAATGGTCGAAGTTAATGTAAAGAGGGTTGTTTCTTTTTTCCCGTGCCTTGCACCAGAGATGATGTGAAGTACTTCCTCTATCATTTTATCTGTCGTTGGGATGATGTGAAGTAGTACTTCCGCTGTTATTTTATTTGTCTAAGTTTAATTGAATACAAAATTTAAGATGGTATAATGAAAATGTGAATTCTTATAAGAGAGCGTCACTGAGGATAAAATTAAAATTTTAAAATTTAAATACTTACTAAATACTTATCTTAGTTCGCTAGTATTAGTGTTAATATGATATCTTTTATTCATAGATGATTATTACTACCTAGAGTTATTTCATGTTGCTGTTATTCCTACTTGTTACAATTACCTTTTCTTTTTCAATCGTTCTCTAGCCGAAGGTCAATTGGAAACATACTCTCTGCCCTTCCAGTGGTAGGAGTAAGGTTGCGTACATCTTACTCTCCTAAGACCCACTTGTGAAAAACTAATAGGTTTGTTGTTATTGTTACTTACTAAATATAAAAATGTATCATCTTTTTCTAAATAAACTAAAAAGAAAAAGTAACACTAACACACATAATTTGAAACAGAGGGCTTATATAACTGCTACTTTGCATGAAGACTCTGACGTTGATGCTTGTAATTAGAGGGTGTAACTTCTTGGATTTGAGTTACTATAGTTGATTAAACAAGTGTTTCAGGTTTTCATTAACTCCTTAGAGGAAACTATCAGTCTTAGAATAACGGACACGCATAAATGTTAACATCGGCCTTAGAAAGCACAAAATAGGACACACATATCAAACCATGGTAAGAGCCTATAAGAACTAAAAGACAATTTTGTTTCTTACCGTTGAGTTAATAAAGACACCATGACTCCTTGAATTAAAGGATTTATAAGTGAAGTCGCCATTTCCAAATCTGAAGAAAACCCACTTTAAGGCAGACCAAAATCCAGAAAATAACTATCTGAAACGTTAAGTTTGGATCATTATACATGGAAGAAGTGCAAAACAATTTCTCACTGCCCTAAAAATGGGTTGTTTAAAACCTACCCATAAACCATAATAATACCAACGCATGAATGAACACTAACAGGATAATGTTATCAATCAATTACTTAAGAGCTGCAACTTTAACTCGATAGATTTAAAGACAAAAAAAGATGCCTACTCAAAATCTTCACTAAGCAAGATACTTGAACACCATTTTTGATAAACAAAAGACACTGACATATTACCTATTATTATCAACCAATTACTTAAGAGCCGCAACTTTAACTCAGTTGAATTTAAAGACAAACCAAATGAATATGCCTACTCATAATATTTCAGCCCTAAATAAAATTTACCAGGATGACTTTGAAAGGACAATGCTATATTACCTAATGCTATCAACCACTTACTTAAAAATTGCAAAATTTAACTCAACAAGATTTAAAGATAAAACAAACGAAGACCAGCATTTGTTAATAACATTAAACACTATAGATCAAGAATATGTAAAGATATAGTAGATGCCAAATAGCTATAACAACATGAATATTTGATCACATTAATAATGATCATGAGTCAGTTACTTGTCTAATTAGTATTTCTCTATATCTCAAAATATGCATACCATCAAATATAGTGAACTGCTACTATTCTGGTTTCCTCTTTAAGTTTTTTGTAGTGGAGTTAGTTCTAGTTGGTTATAGTGTGAAATTTTTGAATAAGTTTGTATATAATGCTTTGACTAATTTGTTTATTTATTTATTTATTTACTGAAAAACAATAGGATCACTAAGGCAATGGTAGGGAGCGTAGTATAAAAAAGAGGCTCGCTGTCTTTAATATTGAATAGACTGCTTGTGTCTCCCAATCTGTAATAGAACCATTAATTCCTTCCTTTACATTCTCCTCTTGCTGCAATTTCTTTTCTCTGTCGTCATTGCTGGTGTTTTATCTTGTGCGACGAATATTATATTTGGGTTCGGTCTGATCTGATTTAGCTACAAATCTCTTACATAAATAATGGCGGGAAGCAAATTTGTTTTCATGGTAAGTATATATCTTCCTAGTAGTTGTAGTTTTTTACTGAGTGTCTTCAATTTGTAACTAATGAATAACTTCCGTCATTTTTTTTAAGATTCTTGCAGCATTTTCCTTTATTATTCCTGTTGCTTCTGGCGGAAAATTAGTTATTAAGAAAGAAGCTGCAGCTTTAACAACGTTAGGGATCTTCACAATTATCGTCGTGATCTTCTTATTTGTTTGCTTGGTACGGTATTGTATTAAACTTAGATTTAGGACGATAGGCCCTAGGGTAGTGAGACTATTCCCTCTCCTTCAATATTCGGAATTGAACGATTTCAGCTTTGGCGTTACTAGATGCAGTATATGCCTAGCTGATTTTGTTCAAACCGAGTATATCCGCATGTTACCGTGCAGTCACGTTTTTCATCATGACTGCATTGTAACCTGGATGACTCGGCGTATAACTTGTCCGGATTGTCGTCGGGGTTACAGGCATATTGTGCCTTAGTAGGAATAGTTTTCGTTCGATATGGTCTTACGACAATGTAATTATATATAGAATGTTATTGCGACAATATTACTCGGATGTACTGTTGTTCAACTTATACAGTTCCAGTGAAATGTAATTGTGAAGCGCAATAATTAAATTTATTATTATTTCATTATCATCATTAATTGTGGCGTTGTGATGCACTGATCAAGTAGGAATTTATCTTGTAAGTCTATTTTGTCATCTGATCGATCATGACAAATATTTAACAGCTTGATGTTTGGAAATTTATCATGAAATGTGACGAGACTTTGAAAACATTGAGATAACCAAATCAAAAACTGAAACTAAATAAAACGGGGAATCTGATCAATGTATTTCCCCATATTCGACCATTGGTCGACAACATATAATAACGCCTAAAGAAGCTGAACATAAAAACTCTGCTATATGTTCGTCACACAACGTAACATACCATAAAGAATCTGTCATTCAAGTTACGCACTGCCATATGTTCGTTACAACTCTACTTTAATTTGTAGTACAATTACAGGCCATTAATTTTTCAAGTGAGCCGTCTTGTGAACTACTTGTATAAACATTGTAATGAAAACCTTATGAATAACTATATCATTTTAATGTAGTGGTAGTAGTGTATCATCAAGTAAATCAGGACTGAAACAGAATAATCTTAATTTATTTAACAGCTGAATAGGGTTTTTCTTTACTTATTTAGAGGAGAATAAGAATTACTGAGCTCATCGAATTACCAAACCTCTTTATCTTGAATAAGAGGATGAATGATCTAGCGTCTAAGATAATGAGAACTAAATGGAAGTCCAAAATGATTAAGTATTTGTTTTTACAAAAAATAGATCCCGTGAAAAAGGACTGGTGTGGGGCCATTTTATCAAAAACCAAGACCATTATATTAAAAGGCAAAGACCTTAATCTTTAAGCATTATCTTTTGTTTAATACGCACAATGAAACTCCCCTTATGACCGTAAAAGTGGACCCGGAAATAAGTATTTCATAAAATAAAATAAAAAATTCAACCCATCCCTACCCAGCCCCGCTTTAAAACTGACTAGCAGGGTAGCTCGGGCTTTGCTCGGGCCCAACTTGAAAAAAGCTATATTATTTCATTATACATTGAGTTACCTTGTAATTTTAATCGTAATATTCTATGAAATTTGACTTGTAAAGATGGTTTACTAATATTACAAATTGTTTGTCATTGTTTGCAAGTATTCAAGTGAGGTATAAAAAGTCTTACCATTGTAAATAAAGATATAACGATAATATCAACTGGAACATTATATATTTGCATCACAAATTAGCTATGCCCATCCAAGGGAAACCTACAAAGGGTCATAGGGCAGGGTTGTGAAGCAGCCCATGAAAGTGGTTGTAGGCTCGTGCTGAGCACAAACGACGATGGTAAGGTCGTTTGATTATATCATGACTAGGAATAATAATTTCGGAGTAAAATAACTAAAATAATCGATGTGACCTTCTCCAAAGTTATTCTCCCAAAGTCCATAGAGAAGTTCAAGGTTAAAATTGAAAATAAAATTTTATCTAAGTTTACATGTTGTAAAACCAAATGTACATGTTTTATACATGTTTCCTATTTTAAATTCAATTAACCAAATATTTACCAATAAAATCACATCTATCAAATAATATCGTCGTTATTTAATATAATACTATAATTCCGTATTATAATCTTGGTATAACTTGTTTGCAAACCAAACGACCAAAGATTTATTTTTGTTGATCCTATAAGCAAGTATTTATCTAGAGTTTAGTTTTAAATCTGTTTAATTAATTGCTGCGGTAGTTTTATATGCATTTCTCTTGAAATTTTCTATCTATATTATGAAGTTTCTTAACTTTATGATTCTACGTTAATTATCAAAATAGCAAACATCAAATAGTTTCTTGCCTCAGAGATTTAAAACAAAAAAGGTATTGTGAATTCTTCTTTACAAAATTTAATGTTTAGTGCTGAGCTAGTTTTATCAGCATATTATAAATAAGCCAAGTTTGATACTGGAATGACCCAAAGATCAAAAGGCGGTATGAATAGAATGCCTAATAAAATTAGTTAATTTGTTAAAATGAAGTCATGAATTGTGAGCATATTATTATTTCAATAAGAAAATTATATTTTACTGTTAAAAAGATGGTGTAATAAAAGTAGCAGTAATATTTGAACTTTAATCTTTAAAAATACCTGTCATCGTTACTTTTATTTGTGTTATAGCTATGATAGGTAAGAAAAAGAAAGTTGTTCCATCACTAAGATAACCACGTGGCCACCATAGAAGCAAATGCAGAGTGATGTGTGAAATGAAGTTTAGAGGGGGCCCACACTTTAGGTGGTCTATTCGTTTTGTCCATTTTACAAGACGTACGCCCACAAAGCCATCATATACAATAGTCTAGCATGCAGATCTTAGAATACCGAAAATAACCTCTGTTGATGAGCATATGGTTAGGACAAATACGAAATAAATAGAAGTGTTATGTTTTTTCCCGTAATTTTACGTTAACCGGAAGCTCCTCACGATTCCCTCTTATTAATAGTACTAGCAAGGTGTTGCCCGTGCACAACACGGGCCCAACATAAATAATTAAAATAGATTGGATAATTTAGCTTTGCTCTTGCGATCTTGAAGGCATTAACATTGATCATCCAGTAGAAATTCTTGTTGCATCAATTATTCTCAAGCCTAATGCATATAAGACCATGCAGTGCATTTCAACTCACCAAACCAAGAGAGTTATTTTCTTCAAATAAGAGATACAATACAAGGTTTATCTAAATTAGCTCCTTAACAATTATCATGGCCAACTTTCAGACTTTCAATTACAAATTTGTAACTGCTAGAGTTCTTTTCATTCTCTTGACATGCTAAGTATGTTGCCATGGTAATGTTTCGGAGGACCATTTTGGGGGATCACCGACTTGCTGCTCCAAAGTAGACTAACACAAGTCCTCATTTACTATTTTCCAATGCCGCAAGTCCTCATTATTATTTTCCAATGCTGCAAGTCCTTGCCTCTCTTGAGGCTTCTCCAAAGTTAATTGACCGATAAGCATGCCAGTGCCTAGTCTCGAGCGAAGATTCCAACTTTTCAACTTTTTCAGGATCAAATTTGACGCAGTGATGCATTGAAGCATACTGCTAGCATCATAATCTTTTTTAATTGGCTAATTCACACATATAAGTATTTCTTAAACTTTAGCAAATGCGCCCAGTGGATGGCCATCCTTCTCTTCAAAACAGGACAAGTGAACACGGACTACCGGAGCAGCAACATCCATATGTGGAAAAAGAATATTTATCCCGAGCATAATAGTAAATTGCATCACTCTTCTATATAGAGAGAACATTAAAAAAAATAGAAAAGTGAATCTAAAAGAATAACGATACTTCTGCTCTGAAGTCTTTTGGAAAATGAGCTTAAACATCCCACAATGTGTCAATTTTCACGGTAAAGTATTAGAACTTTTTACCTAATAAAAGTGTGCTAAACGTGATTCGAAATACCTACCAAAAACATGATAAAAAGGCAGATTTGTCTAACTGATTTCTTATTTTCGAACTATTTTTCTTTATAAATATTTTCTCAAGCTGTTGTATTTTACTCTCCAGTGTGTAGTGATATTTTGGTACTGACTGGGTACGAAGTTTAAGAAAAAAAATGAAGACTTTTGGAATTTATGGTCCTAAACAAGTCAAAAATGGGTCCAGAGTATTTGTGTGGTTATAAAAGTTTCTCATAAGAGCAGAATTGAAAGTTTAAGCTAAATTGTTTCCAAATTTAGAAAAGGTTCATTTTTTTTTGGAACGGGCCAAAAAGAAAACGGGTTCACATAAATTGAAATGGAGAGATTATAAAGTTGCATGTTTATTAAGAAAAGTGAGCTAGACCAGTGAGCTAAGAATTGATTCACAGTTCTCCCAGGCCCATGTATACGGTCGAAATAGATTTCGGCCTTAGCACGTCCGATCGAGTTCGAACGGTGATCTATCGAAGTAAGATCCCGAAGGTGGAACAAATTAACCTCAAACCCGGGGAGGCCGATCCGTGTCGAGTTCGATATCATTATCAAGCTCGAATCGAAATCGAACCATGATGCAGAGTAGATCTATCATGCTGATAATCTAGAGACCAACCAACATTGACCTCGAATCAATTCGAGGGCTCGGGCCAGGATTGGGCTCGAACCAAGATCACGAACTCGAGTCGAAATTAAGCTCAAACCAAAATCGAGGGTTCTAAGCAAGATCGAGCTCGCATACAAAAGCCGTTGCAATCCCACTAGAGAGAATCTTGGCAGAAATTNAACATTGACCTCGAATCAATTCGAGGGCTCGAGCCATGATCGGGCTCGAACCAAGATCACGCGCTCGAGTCGAAATCAAGCTCAAACCAAAATCGAGGGTTCTAAGCAAGATCGAGCTCGCAGACAAAAGCCGTTGCAATCCCAATATAGAGAATCTTGGCAGAAATTGTGGAAAAGCTGACTTATCATGGGTCTCCCACTGAACGTTTATTTTATTATGCTTAGAGACAAATCCCTTCACTATAATAGGGCTTGGTTACCATTTCTGTAGGACAAGTTTTTCTCAGGCTTACATTGTAATAAAAGCACTATATTCTTCTACAGTAAAGAATCGTTCTTTCAGATTTTTTTGATTGATTCTATTTGTTGAATCCTAAGATTCATTGTTCCTAACAACCTTATCTATTTCGCATTCTCTGCAATCTATATTTACATTTCTATTTATCCTTACACTTTGTGTTAAGTTATGCCACATATCCTCGGAACTGCGTATAAATTCTACTTTATCCATTTTTCGGGTAAACAGTTTGGCGCCCACCGTGGGACCGAGGATAACAGTGGTTATTTGATACAAATCTGAAAAAACACGCCATTGTGCTTTGTGCTTATTTCCGAAAACATCTGGAATTTCGGATCAACTACGAATAACCACCAATC